AAATCTAGCTACTGCTTAGATTCTTATAATCTAACTACTGCTTACTCATGTTCAGACTCCTTAAGAGTCTGCCCAATATGACAGTGTTCTAATAAACTTTGTCTTTGGCTGGAAAAAAAATTATCCATAGGTTCTCTTTGTGGTGGCTAAGAATTTGAAATCAAAGGGATGCCCATCAATTGGGGAATGGCTAAACAAGCTGTGGTATATGATTGTAATGGAATGTTATTGTGGTATAACAAATGACAAGCAGGATGATTTCAGAAAAACCTGGAAACACTTACATGAACTGATGTATAGTGAAGTGAACAGACCCAGGAGAACATTGTACATGGTAGCAGCAATATTGTATGATGAAGAACTGTGAATGTGAAATGTGAATGTGAAAGCTATTCTCAGCAATACAATGATCCAAGACAATCCCAAAGGACTGATGATGAAGCATTTTATCTGCTTCTAGAGAAAGAACTGATATCGATTGACTACAGACTGGAGTGCTATTTTTCACTTTCTTTCTTTAATTTTTTTTCTTTTATTCAAGTCTTATACAAAGTGACTAATACGGAAAAGTTTGACATAATTGCACATGTATAACCTATATCTTGTTGCTTACCATCTCAGAGAAAGAGAAAGGGAAGAAAAGGAGGAACAGAGGGATAGAATTAGAAACTCAAAATTTTAAACAAAAATGTTTAAAAACTGAAAAAAGAGGTATCTATTGTCATTGCCTTGACTTCCAGAAAAGAACTGAAGCTCTTCCTCTCTTCTAAACTGTCTACAATCTGGCGTCCAAACTCATCATTCAACTGAGACTGCTCTCTCCCCAGCTGCCGGTGATCTCTTGACCGCCATGACTAATGGCCTCTTCACCGTCTTCATTCTTCTTGACCTTTCTGAAGTGTTTGGTATTGTTGAGCCTCCCCTCCTCCTCTTAGGCATGCTCTTCTCTCTGGCTTTTCATGACATTGCTCTCTCCTGCTTCTCCTCTGACCACTCCATATCAGTCTCTTTTGCTGTACCATCATCCATTTCACACCCACTAGAACTTGGTACCCCAGAGCTTTGTCCTGGATCCTTTTCTTTTCTATATTCTCTCACTGGGTGACCTCCTCAGCACCTATGGGTTTAGTTGTCATTTCAATGCAATCGATTTCCTAAGATCTACATATCTAGCCCTAGTCTCTCTTCTGAACTCCTGCCCTATATAACCAACTACCTATTGGACATGTTGGTTATGGGTAGGCATCTCAAACTCAACACATTCAAATCAGAATTCATTATCTTCCCCTAAAAACCCACCCTTTTCCCTAATTTCTGCAATACTGTCACCACCATCCTTCTGGTTCACAACTTTGGTATCATCCTCAACATCCTCTGTCTCATATATCGAAACATTGTAAATATCATTGTTTCTATATTTATATCTCTTGCATCTCTAACCCTAACCCTTCTCCATTCATATAGCCTCCAGGTTCAAAGCACTTTGCCACTGGCCTAGGACTTCATCACCATTTGCTTGGATCAAGGGTGGGGAACCTGTGGCCTCAAGGCCACAGGCCCTCAAGGTCCTCAAGTACATCCCTTTGACTGAATCCAAAGGCAAAGGGCCACACTTAAGGACCTAGAGGACCACATGTGGCCTCGAGGCCACAGGGTCCCCACCCCTGGCTTGGACTATTACAATTGCTTCCTATTTGGTCTCCCTACCTCAAGTCATTTCCCCTCTCCAGTCCATCCTCCACACAGTTGCCAAAGAAATTTCCCTGTAGTTCAGGTCTAATCATATCACCCTCATATCACCTAGTAAATGTCAATCAATCGATCAATAAACATTTATTAAGTGTCTGAGATGTTCCTGGTACTGTGCTAAGTACTGGGGATACCCAAAAAGGCAGAAGATAGTCCTTGTCTTCAAAGAGCTTACAGTCTAATGGGGGGGAAATAACATGCAAACATATATATTACAAAAGGAGTCACCAATGCTACCCAGATGCCAGTGCCCCCCCTTCCTAAACTACCTTGTATTAATTTTCTATATAATAACAATAACAACATTTATATAACATTCATTTTGTGCCAGATACTTTACAAATATTATCTCTTTTAGTCTTCACAACAACCTTGTGAAGTAGGTCCTATCATCCTCATTTTACACATGAGCAAACTGAGGCAAATGGAAGTTAAGTGACTTGTCCAGAGTCACCCACATAGCCAGATTTGAACTTAGGTCTTCCTGCCTCTAGGCCCAGGGCTCCATCCGCAGCACCACCTAGTTGCCCAGTTTTTTGGCATATATTTGGTGTATATCTATCTAACACTTCTGCCTCAACTCAAACCCACACACTTTCCTCAGAGGAAGGCTACCACCAGAGTTCAAAAGGTTAGCTAAGTGGATCCAGATCTCTCAAAATTATAGTTTAGGAGCCCCCATCAGGGATCTTACCTTAAATAGTCAGCCAGTAGGCACAATTAGTAAAGTAGCAGAATGACATAGAAAGAATAGTTGCCTCAAAATGTCTTCCTCATAAACCTAAGGCACATTTTCACACAAATATACACAGTACTCATGGGAAAAATACAGTGGTAGTAAGGCACACATGGAGTAAAGCCATGAGGCCAAGGCAACTCTCACATCTGATACTACAAGGCTCCTTGTTCTTTACATGATGTCTTCATGATATTGTCCTCTCAGTGTAGTATCTGCTAGGTGGGTCACTCAGCTGGGCTTCTCAGAAATTCTCTCCAAAACTCAATGGAATTGGAAACCAAGGGCTGTCTTCTTGTTAGCAAATGGCTAAACAAATTGTGATGTGTAAATATAATGGAGTAGTATTGTGTCATAAGAAATGATGAAATGGGGGGCAGCTAGGTGGCGCAGTGGATAGGGCACCAGCCCTGATGTCAGGAGGACCTGAGTTCAAATTGGGCCTCAGACTAAACACTTGACACTTACTAGCTGTGTGACCCTGGGCAAGTTACTTAACCCCAATTGCCAAAAAAAAAAAAAGATGAAATGGACAATTTCAGAAAAAGTTGGGAAGATCTTTATAAACTGATGCAAGGCAAGGGGAGCAGAACCAGTAGGACAATTTATACAATAACAACAAGATAGAGAAAAACAACTTTGAAAGACTTTAGAATTCAGTAAGGGCATCTAGGAGACTCAGTGTATAAAGCATTGGGCCTAAAGTCAGGAAGACTCATCTTCCTGAG